TGACAAGATCACAAGCAAAATAATCGATACGGCTGTCGAAAAGGTAAAAGTTGACACTAAAGAACTTTGTCCCAATCTCAATGAAGGGAAGACTATGTCTTCAAAGAAGAATATGACTTCTGGACTTCGCTATGTTCCAAAAGTAAAGAAAGAAGAAGTCAAATCATCTAACCTTCAAGAAGATGCATTAAGAGGACTAACTCTTCCTATCAGGCGGATTGATGCAATAAACTTGCCTTCAGAGCTGTCAAGAAAGACAATTGCTCAAAATCAAGTGCGAGATGTAGCATTCCCTACAAAATGCACGGGAGAAGGTTTTGATCTTAATGCTTACAAGTTATTTGCGAAGGCTGGATATAACCCTAATGAGCCATCAATGTTAGGGAAACTCCCATCAGTTGATAAAACCAGGCAAGCACGTGAAGGCATAGGCTATAACCAACCACCTCCAGTTCGCATCTCCATAAGAAGAGAAAACAATAATCATATAACTTTTGAAGATGATGTTACTGCTCCCAATAGAAAGCTTTCCTTCTTTGATCGACTCGGAGAATCGACTGCAAGAACTTCTGTGTTCAAGAGATTAGGTCTATTGAAAAAAAACAAGAATCTGAGAAGGTATTTAAAAGTTACAATGCCTGCTTCACATTTGGTTCGAAAGGATTTCAAAAGTTTGATTCCTTCTAGAATGAGGCGACGAGTGGAACTTGTAGTTTCATGTAAAGAGGAGCTCAAGGCAAAGGTTCGCACCGTGGTTTACACCAAGGAGCGCGAGGAAGATGAAGAAAGTGTAGGCTCCTCAAATTATGTTACAATCTAAAATGAGTACGATTCTCTGCCTCAACTAAAGATTGATGAAGAGTTAGAAGATATTGTCTGGTGTTGTCATATAACTGTCAATGACAATGATCCTTTATAAGAGGAAGATGCTGGAGATGCTCCACCGGAACTTGAAGAAGGAGTAAAGACCACAATAGACCCTTTGAAAGAAGTTAACCTTGGCACTGATGAAGACCCAAGGCAAACTTACTTGAGTGCCTTTCTAGAAGTTGATGAAGAAATCTCTTATATGAATATACTTAAAGAATATAAGGATGTCTTCGCTTGGAGTTATAAAGAAATGCCTGAATTGAATCCTAAAGTAGCGGTCCATCAGTTAGCAGTCAAAAATGGTTCTTGTCCCGTTAAGCAAGCTCAAAGACGCTTTAGGCCAGACTTGGTTCCATTGATAGAAAATGAAGTTAATAAATTCATTGAGGTAGGCTTTATTCGTGAGGTCAAATATCCTACATGGATTTCAAGTATTGTTCCTGTGAAGTAGAAGAATGGTCAAATTCGAGTATGTGTTGACTTTAGAGATCTTAATAATGCATGCCCTAAAGATGAGTTTCCTCTTCCCATTCCAGAGCTGATGATTGATGCCACCACTGGATATGAGGCAATGTCGTTCATGGACAGTTCTTCTGGCTATAATCAAATCCGCATGGCTCCAAAGGATGAAGAACTCACCGCATTTCGCACACCTAAGGGTATTTATTGCTACAAAGTGATTCCATTGGTTTGAAGAATGCTGGTGCTACATATCAAAGGGCTATGCAAAATATATATGATGACTTGCTCCATAAAAATGTTGAATGTTATGTAGATGACCTGGTGGTAAAATCCAGAAAGAGGAGTGATCATTTGAAAGACTTACGAATGGTGTTTGAGCTACTTCGAAGATATCAACTAAAAATGAATCCATTGAAGTGTGCCTTCGGAGTTACTTCTGGAAAGTTCCTTGGCTTTATTGTGAGACATCGAAGAATTGAAATTGATCAAGCCAAAGTTGATGCAATATCGAAGATGCCTGAACCTCAAAATATTCATGAGTTAAAAAGTCTCCAAGGAAAGCTAGCCTACTTGAGGAGGTTCATCTCAAACCTAGCAGGACGATGCCAACCATTCGGTCATCTCATGAAGAAAGGTGCTCCTTTTAATTGGGACGAAACATGTAGCGATGCCTTTAAAAGTATCAAGTCATATCTAGCAAAACCTCCAGTTTTGGTAGCCCATATACCTGGAAAGCCATTGATACTCTACATAACGGCACAAGAAAGGTCCGTAGGAGCCCTGTTAGCTCAAGAGAATAGTGAAGGCAAAGAAAACTCTCTTTACTACTTGAGTAGAACGATGACACCAAATGAGCTGAACTATTCGCCGATTGAAAAATTGTGCTTGGCGCTAGTCTTCTCAATTCAAA